CTGTTTTACCATATTTGAAATCTTCAAAAAGTGGAAAACAGGTATAATAGTGTATGGTATTACAGATCTAAAAACAGGTATAATAGTGTATGGTATTACAGATCTAAAAACAGGTATAATAGTGTATGGTATACAGATCTAAAAACAGGTATAATAGTGTATGGTATTACAGATCTAAAAACAGGTATAATAGTATATGATATTACAGATCTAAAACATGTCAAATTAATATGAGTCTTGATGGTACATGTACTTATGTTTCAGTAAAACACAAAAAAATATAAACTAAACCTATCCTTATTTTCAAACTGTTTAATTGTTATTGGACTTTGACACACACAATGAAAAAGGTTTACTCTCAATATTACTTTCATAAAGGAATTTTTTTCAAAATTATATGGCACTGTAAATATTAAACAGAAAATTGACTTCAATAATATTTTTAATTTTCAAACTCCTGAACAAAGGCTTTATAATGATTTTTTTTATTATCTGTGTCTTGAAGACACATTAAACTGTAATTTATCTTTGAAGTAACACCATAATAGATATATTTGGAAGATTTAAATATATCAAATAGCTTTTCTACTTTTGGTTTTGCACAAAATATTTTTTGCAAGTGAGAAGATAATCACAAAAAAACTTTCTAATATTCTGTCTTTTTCTTGTGGTGTATATCATTTTTCAATGCTCCAGCACTGAGAGAAAAAGTCAGATTTTGCATAAAAGACATTTCTTCCTGACACAACAACAAAAACTTTAAAGGGTAAAATTTTAGAATTATGAAAAAAATATTCAAATACACACAGTCATGACACAAGAAGGACTAAGTAGGGTGGTAATTACCCTTAATGAATTGGATGGGTTTTTTTTCCATGTGGATAAATGTCCTTTTGCCATCATCACTATTTTCATGAAATTCAAAAAGATTGAAGTCCTATTGCTTCATACAAATTTCATGACGCGTTGTGAAACTGTAAAAGTTATGGAATTTTCATATAAAATTAAAACCCTTTTAGTTAAATTACAATAAAGATTAGATTTCTCCTATTGATCTTTACATTGTGTTAAAATTTCATAACAATTGGTCAAGACAAAGTTTGACTTTAAGCAGAGGCATGTATATATATGTCTCTGTTTTAAGTATGACGTGCAAAATCCTTTTTATGTATTTGAAACTAAATACCCTAACTTCAAAACAAATTTTATATTTCATCAAACAAAAGGAATCTTTCTGCCACCAATCTCCTTAAATTGTGTTAAATTTCAAAAGATCAGTAAATACAAATTTACTCTTTGTATGAAGAACGAGTTGATTTTGCCATTTCAATTACTTAACAAGGGAAATATCATATTTTAAGTCTATTCTACAAGAAATGATGGATTATATAGTATTCAAATAAAAAAAAAAATATTAAAAAAACAGAATTGACTAGTTGAAGCAATGATTGAAGTCACATTTACATTACACAGTGCCACCACTCTGACTGTCATATCTGCACACCTTAGAAGTATGTCATGTCAAGGTTATATATTTTTTGAATATCATGGTATGTCATTTTGGTATATTATATAAAACTTGACAGACAACTTAAACAAGCAACACGACAGGTGCCACATTACATGTGGAGCAGGATCTGCTTACTCTTCCTGAGCACATCTTAAGATTAACCATCAGTTTTTGGTGGGGTTCATGTTGCGCAGTCCAGATTTTTTGTGTTGCATTCTGTTGTTTGTGTTTTGTATGCTATTGTTTTTCTTTGGTGTATTTTTTGGGTTTTTTGCCATGGCATTGCCAGATCGTTTTCGAAATGTGTTTCAAATGTTTGAAAATCACTTTTATACCTTTGGTCTCTCTTTTACAAAACTTGACTATACAGTATGGCTGAAAATCATTTAAACTATTTGAATAAAACTACATTTCATTTCACCTATGATTTAGTGCACATTTGTTATCTTTTAACTTTAAACCTATTGTGATTTTCATTAAATTGATGTATATTTCTTAGAGGCGTCTGCAACAACAAACAACGTTGAATTGTGGGAAATATATGTTTTACTCGGTTACCTCCCATGTATTTTGCGATGCCGTCATCGACTATTTCCGTACATCAACTTTGAAGCGTTTGAGTCTTCATCTTTGTTCTCGAACATAGAAAAACAGAAAATCAACTTATTTCAGTTTCTATTGTTTTCAATTTGATAATTTGATCTTAATTTCAACTACTGTCAGGAGTATTTGAATAATCGAAATCCCACAAAAAATATTGCAGACGGACACAGACAAATTATTGCTCTAAAAAATAATACAAATAACACATACACATACTTTTGGAACTTGAATATACTAAATTTTTCGAGGTTTTTGTCTGTAAGGTGGCGAATATTTGATAATTGGGAGGGCCGGTGAACAAGACGATTTTTGCCGAAGACTGATGTAAATTTTCACATGTTTGCTACCAGTTAGTTTATTTATTTAACACTCATGATATTCAAACTCGTCCACACTCATTGAACCTGCATTTTAGGGAGTAGAATATAGAATTTCCATTCTGTCTTAGGCAAGTTTTTTTTATGTCCTGACCAGGCCAGAATGCACGGTTAATTAAGAAAAATTATCCGCAACCTATTAGAAAACCAAACCGTCGTCCCAAAGTCCGGCATGAAACGACTATAATCCTGTATTTATCACTCGCCTACTGAGGAACCACTGATACTGCGGGTGATACTATAGTGTTATTAACAAGTTTAATATCGACCGAGTAATGTATTCGCCATACTATCAACATATCACAATGTTGACTAAAATAAAGACTGTCGTACATCTAATATTCACTCTATATATCAAGGTCGGGATTAGGGGACTTCATTTCTGTATTTCTATTTTTTATGACACTTGTCTCTATTCATTCTCGTGAAAAGCTAAGAGTTAATGTTTTGGACTTATCACGAATAAAAATACAAATGTTGAAGAACTGAACTCGGATAATTATAAACCATTATAAAAGATTATCATAATTTAAAGATTTTATAAACCAAAGATTTTATAGACCATTCCAAGCTTTCAGCGCAGTTCATCTACAGGAAACTTTAAAAAAAGATCTCAAAAGAAAAGGAACGTCATCAACAGGCATTTTTGACCGCTATCCAATATACCATCATCAAGTTTCTCAGTGGCAGTCCCAATTTCCCAGACCTACATCCCGTACGGCTTTTTATTACAGGACCTGTCTATTGTATTTGTTGTTAATGTGTTTTCGTCCTGAATATCCATGAAATATTTGCAACTTGACGTTAAGCAACCAACAATCAGTCAATCAGTCATGTTCAGGACGAGAACAAATTAACAAAAGATACAATAAGTAGGTCCTGTAATAGGGGTCGACCAGGATGAAGGTCGAGAAATTTGGACTGCCACTGGAATATGAGGGTTAATTGGATAGGGACAGAAATGTAGCCTTGCAACAGGCAACCTACGGACCTCTCAAAGAGTTGTTGCAAGGGTTCTAAACGTCCAGACTCGGAGCGTGGCACTCTCTCTACACTAGGCACCGGATTAAACGTCCCCATTCTGATCGAAAATGGCTGAGAGTTCACACATCCCGCACAAACAAAACGGACGCCCCACTTTGGCAAGCGTTTTACTTTCGGTCGGAAAAAGACCAACAGTGACCATATTTCTATTCCTCAGTCACCCTTGAGGTGGCGGGAATTTGAACACTTAGGTAGTATTTGAAATAGGAATGTAATGAAACTGTGAAAAAACCGTGCATATTTTGTGAAGTGCAGTTTCAGACAGTTTCTTTATTTTCCGTGACAAGACAAATATCAATTTTCCTTCATGTACTTTTTAATGAATCCAATTGAATATACAAAGGTTTTTTCTGCTCAACTTTAGTTTTCTGTGTACTAGCTGTTTGTGAGTTATTATTAGTCTCTTTGTGTTGGTCTTTTTGACTTGGCGTTTCAACAGTGCCTTTCCGAATCGACATAAGGCTATTTTGATGGCCCCTTATATTTTTTGTATTTTATTTGATTGTTACGAGTCTAATTACAACAAATAATAAATAGCTACTTATAGTTTCATCTGATATTTATTGCTGTTAAAATGCATTATTTTCAAATTCGCGAGATAAGTAGCTTAGATAGTTATCCTCTTCTTAAAGATATATCACATTAAAATAAAATGTCTCATGGAAAGTTTACGTGGGGTAGGGGACCAATAAATTCTTTCTACAGCTTTCAGTTTTTTTTCAATGGATTATCGTATTTTATGATTGGGGAGGGATAAGTAATAAGATATTTTAACTTTGGTGCAGGAATTGATCATATGTAATTATTTGTAATAATAATTACGACCCCATTGTGACCAGTAGTAAATTGCATGTGATATTTTCCTAGATGACACTTATCTTCTAGACAATCGAAGAATTAGATATTTTTTTTAATTCTGACTTTTAAAGATGTCCCACAACGCTACAATTACTAAGCCGTAATTAATTCAGAAATAACAAACTGCGAATCAGCGTCATATATTTTTCTAATAATATTAGACAGGGGAAGAATTAAATACCATTACTTAACATGTGACAAAATTAGTGTATCGTCTAAGAAAATATTGTGCCATATCATTATAATTCAAAAGATTTAAAGATTGAAAATGATCCGATTTAGAGGCGGATCCCATCTTAATCTGCCCTCGTTCTAGACTCGGCAGGGATCCGCGGTTATAACTAAATGCCGCTCATTAGTACAGCACAAAGATTACAAAGCTCCATTCGTTTATAACAATCAAAATTTAGCGGATAATGTTAACTTGTAACATGTCTAATCGTTAAAATATAATTAGGATCTCATAAACATTTTCAGATTAGTTAAAACTGAACTGCGTAGCATGGACGAAATTTCATCTAGAAATGTGTAAATTTTGTGGATACTTTATTTTCAATTAGAAGAATCCGTAAAAATATTATATTTACAAAAAAACGTACAGTTTAGTTTTATTTGATATCCTAATTGAAGAAAAATTGGAAATATATTTTAATTATGTGCGAAAACGAACTGTCTTTGTTGAAAAACGAAATGAAACCTCAGCGTCCGAAAAGTTTAAATCTATCACCAGTCGGACAAACATGCTCAGACGATGAAGAAATTGATGTTGTTGATGGGTCTGATTCTGAAGATGACACTGCAGGTAATTTCATATTTTAAAATTTAATTTTATATCTTATTTTTAACTTTCTCCTCCTAAAAGACGACCATAGTTTTATTCTATTATTCTTCTACTTGCTGTTAAATCAATTAACAGACCCCACAACATTCAGATTGTATTGCTAAAATTTTTTTAGTAAATTTATAATATACTTGTTAAATTTTATTTTCTGGTCGGAATGCATTTATTGTTTCTTAAATATTCACTTTACTAAACATATCCAGTATATATTGCTTAAAAAGATATGTTATTCTTTGAAACACTCTTTTAAATAAAAAAAGCATTAAAACTGGTTTCTCTCTTTGAATTAAAGATATGCACTACAAATTAAATATGGAAATTTTATGTTTTTTTTACTTCAAATTTACCACATTCAGATTGAAATATCTGGAAAAATAAGTCATTTGTTTATTTCTAATATTCAAAAGTTTATATATATCCAAATTTTACGGTGAAATCTTGACTGTAAATTTTTAATATGTATACTTTTGTATGCTCAAATAAACAAATGACTTATTTTTACAAATATTTCAGTCTGATTATGGTACTTGAAGTAAACTAACATAAAATTAGTATGAGACAAGTTACTATTTAGAGATTATATGTTCTCAAACGCTTTTTTTTTGTCTTTGGCTTCAAAACTGTTGGTTCCGAGCGTACCTGATGAGTTATTCCAGAAGCAAGCACGTGCGCGCTGATATCGTTATTACATACAAATGCTTTTTAAAAACACGTGGCGTGCGTGCGGATATAAGTAAGATGCAAAAAATACAAAAATGCTTTACAGAAAAAACTTCATTTACCAAATCTAGTTTAGGAGGAGGTTTGGGTCTCTGAAGGATAATCTAACATCATGACATTTCGTGCCACCATACGTTATAATGTAATGTTTACCCTTACATTAAACAATTTGATAAAAGTTAAATGCTTATTATTTTTTTTTCTTTTATTGCTGAAATATATTTTATATCGTTAAATTCTAATATCATAAATATCATAATTTAAAGGTGACTAATATATAAGTTAGATTAAATATAAAAATAATTTACTAGTATATTACTCATTCATGTTAATCTTCAGGGTCATCTTGCAGTTAGTTTGTCCTTTATTTAGGGAAATGGGCTACCTTTGCAATTCCAAATCGCCAATTTCCATGTAACCAGTCTCTGTTATTCTGACGAAAAAACAAAATTGAATAAATATTTATTGTGTTCAATGATTTAAAAAGATTTTAAAAATGACTTTAAAGTGTGCGGACTTCTCTTGTTAAAAAAATGTGCATTTCGTTTTTTTTCTTTTTTGTGATGCACTTCTTAAAACAGATTTTTTCTTTCTTAAATTTTCTACGTATGATTTGTTCTTTAAAAACGAAGAAAAATAAACATTACTAACAATTAAGACTTAAGATATATTACAGCAAGTATGTATTTTTTGCATAACATTAAAATAACTTTAGCTAGCAGACCCAGTTTGTTTCAAAAAGATAGTATATATGAATAAAAGGAGATGTTGGATATAACAGAATTCATGAGACAGCAACACAACGACAAAAATAACCAAAAGACATCTAGAGGGTCACATACAGTTTCAACAATAGACAGGTTCCCGTATACAAATCAGAATATGCCAAGCATTAAATCGTCAAGAGTCTATAAAATGTTTTAAATAAATAAAACAGAAACAATCGAAGATCTGTCATTAGCAATTATTTGTCCAGACAGCAATAAACATTAAGATATGATATAAGACAACCCTTGACTTGTGACAGGCACATGAATGGGCTTAACTAGGGTTTTTTCCTCGATCATTGGACTGATAAAACTTACATGAAAGTTTTACAATCAAAATCAGTACAGGAAAAATCACTTAAATCTAAAATAACGGTATAATAGATAAAAATAAAACACAAAATAATAAAGAATAATGTACGGTATTGAAAATGAAAAATGCTTGTAGTTACTGAAAGCAAGCTCAAAGAAATCAACCTGATGATATGAAGTTTTTTTTACTAGTTGTTGTGATGTGCATGCTGAAACAGAAGCTTTTTCGTTACTTTTGATCTTTTATTATACATACATGTATAGAAATATAAAATGTGAAAAAGTTGTTTTTTTCTGCAGACTCTCCTGGTTTTGAATACGGGCCTGACGGTGTTTCATCTCCAAAAAAACAGAGAAGAAATAGAACCACATTCACAGCTGACCAACTCCGAGAACTTGAAGCCATCTTCCAACATACCCACTACCCAGATTGTACGCTTAGAGAGCAGATAGCTGATAAAGTTGACCTAACAGAAGCCAGAGTTCAGGTATGTCAGAGACCGCTTTTACTTTATCATGCAAGTTCAAAAGGATGAGGTAAGGTCTATCGGATGCCTTGTACTCAACACATATAAATGTAAATCGAGTGCGAAGGCAGAGTTTGGTACATGTATGTAACATCGTCAGATACAACATATGAATGTTCTCAGAGGGTACTCACAATCAGAGTACAGATATGCCACACGTATCGTACTCACAACACACAAATTTACTCTGTGAGCACAATGAAAAATTATTAGGTATTTATATATTCACAACACATGACTGTACTCCCCCGGCAAAGAGAGTTAAGAGTACAGATCTGTCAAATGCATTTTATGTTATTCGGGATCTTCACAGGGGATATGGGCTCATATTCCCTGTCTGTGTTTTATATCACCCGAGCCGTCAGGTGACTGGAATATAGAGCACTGACAGGAAATATTATCCCATATCACCTCTGCAGCCCGAATACCAATTATATTATATTGGTGTGTCCTGAACATTATTTACTATTTTTTATCTTCGTTTTTGTTCACAGGGTATATGGTTTCATATACACTGTAAGGTAACCAATCAAATTGCAGGATTCATGCAGTAGCCGGGATATTTCACTCCAGTATAATACATGTGTATATATATATATATATTAGCAGGGTTTAAGAACATCCGTTGTTCGACCTGCTAGTCAAATGCGTTTTGTTAAAATATACTTTTCACATTTTTTGTCTTTTGGAAAATGTTGTTTGTGCTGTATTTAGACCCCTCTTCCAAGAAATTTGTTTTGCATACACACGTATAAAAATTGCGGTTTTTATCCAACGCAATCATAGGTTTAAACGTTGTTTTCAATTTAGACTTGTATATATATATATATATATATAGATTCGCATACACTGCACATATAACTTTGATGTTATATAAGATCTCCTTATTACCAGGTTCTCAAATGTTACTTGACTTTTAAAAAAAGGTTATGACTTATGACTTGTTATCAAGTTGCAGTTGAAGATCCAGCTTCAGCATTGCTGCACAAAAAAATAAAATAAACTAGATGTGTCGGAACGACACGAATGGCCCCACTCGCAAAAAAGGCTTGAAGCCATTTTTAGGAGTGGAAATTTGAGAATGAAAGTCCGTATATAACTGTTATTTTCACGAAATTTTCAAAGTCCAAAGCCCGTAATTTTGGCACAAATCAGCGGAGTGGAACCAAACGTAAACTGGATCTGTGGATCATAGTAGACTCACATACTAAAACTCATATCAATATGTGAAGGCGTTTAGAAAAAAAATCCGTATAACTGTTATTTTCAAAACCAAAGCCCGTAATTTTTGCGAAAATGATCGGAGCGAAACCAAAACGTAAACTCGATCTGTAACTCATCACAGTAGACTCACATACTAAAAATCAGCTCAATATGTGAAAGTCTGTATAACTGTTCATTGCAAAATGACGGAATGACGGATAAGGGTAAAACTATATGGCCCCGACCACTTTGTGGCGGGGTCATCATAAGTAAAAATACCCGTTCTCATCGTATATGTTATTTTTGGACAAATACTCTAAAATATGTATTGTATGGGAAATGAAAGACGAAAAAATCAATCTGACGGATCTTATGGTTCTGAACATAAGTGAAATATTTGTCACTGGACGTAAAACAAGCAACAGTAAATCAATAAATTATTTTTGAATATTAAATTGAAAACTATAATAGAGGGACACAACCTGTAAATAGCAAAATGAATCGATTATAAAAGTTCTAAAATCAATGGCTTATGCAGGAAAGTGCTGCATTTACCATAGAAAGCAATGGAGCCATGATTAAGATGTTTTAAATCGTATAGGTATTTTGTTAAGTGTAAAGCAATACATATTAGTTCTGTTTTTAATTCATTAATAAGAAAATCAATGTTAATACCTATGTATAAAAAACATGAAAAATATTATTATAGTGTTTGAATGATAACTTTTTAGAATATTTTTATTCAAAGGATCGATAAGCTTACATGGATCGCATGTACGTAAATTTACGGGCTTTAAAACAACATCATGTGGAATTTTTTCATTCACCTTACAATCACTTCAGCGTTAATAACAAGTTTTTTTTTATTTGTGGTAGCCACTGAACAGTTTTTTTTATTTGTGGTAGCCACTAAACAGTTTTTTTATTTGTGGTAGCCACTAAACAGTTTTTTTATTTGTGGTAGCCACTAAACAGTTTTTTTTTTTATTTGTGGTAGCCACTAAACAGGTTTTTTATTTGTGGTAGCCACTAAACAGTTTTTTTATTTATGGTAGCCACTAAACAGTTTTTTTTATTTGTGGTAGCCACTAAACAGTTTTTTTTATTTGTGGTAGCCACTAAACAGTTTTTGTTTTGTTTTATTGGCTAGTTGATTGCTTTCTCATTAATGTATACTAAAAAATTTCTTTCTTTCACATCAAAAATTCAGTTTTATTTTTAAATCGTTAAGAAAAAGAAGCAGGTGACCAATATATGAAACCAAATAATTTTCTGGACATTTTGGACAAACGACCATTCAATTATATCTAATTAGTTGTAATTGAGACGAACTAATAAGCTATAATTGTAGGGAATATTCACGGTATCAACATCTGTAGGAAGAAAATTCTAGGAGACATTCAGTATGGTTAATTGATTAAAGAGGCTTAATTTCACTAAGGATACAAATAGCCAAGGGGATGGTAGATCATTTATTTGTACTTTTTACGATTTTGCAGAAGAAATAACTATGACAGGCAAAGCAATTGATTTGTAATAATATGTACCGGTAGTATGAGTTAGACGATTAAGAGAGATATACCAGTTTTTTAAAGATATACCAATGAAATTTATTTAGTGACACTTCAATATGAGAATTTCCAAAAGTATTTGAATAAACGGAGAAGCGAAATATACTCCAGTGAGAGACAGCAACCAAACATTAAATTTTACATACCAATAAAACAGAAAAGACATTCAGATGTCTACATGCGGTCTTCAAAAATACATTACATATAATTTTTACGGTAATATTGTTTAAAAAGCACGTACATTTAAACACCATCTAATGGTCAACATATATACAGTCTTCAACAATAGATAGGTGTCTATAAAATATGTCAAGCTCTAAGTCGTTCCGAGTCTAAAATAGTTAAGGAATGACTGTAATATTTTTTCTGTTTATGAAGAAATAACATCAAAAATGTGGTGCACACTGAATAACTCGCGTAGCGGGTTATTTAAAAGTGTGCACCACATTTTTTATGTTATTTCGAATAGACAGAAAAAAAATTAAAGTCATTCCTTATAATTTAATTCTAAAAAGGAGTAAATCATGATAAAAAAGTTGATGACGTCGCGGTCACATGACAAAATTATGTCTTTGAGCTGATAGACAAAACACTTTCAGCCAATCAGAAGACGTGTTACATCCAAAATTAAATTATTTGTGAGTAAATAAAACAGAATCTATCAAAGATGTACCATCAACACCAAATTCAACGAATAAAATAAACATGTAAGGTTTGACATAAGACCGCCTTTCACAAGGTTTATGGCCTGGGACAGACACGTGAATATTAGCAAGATTTTTGAATTCACACAAGAAACTACAATAAAAATTAGTATAATGCAGGAAAAGCACTTAACTTTAAAATAATGGTGTAATAAACAAACCTAAACGAAAGAAAACAACGCTGTTTCTGATACTGTTCGCAGCTATCAAAAGCAAGCTCAAATCATTTAACCTGCTAATAAGAAATCATGTCGTCCTGCACTCTCATATCGGTGACTGTACAAGATTTCATACATCAACATCAATAGATATACAGTACAGGAAGACATGTTCTTGTTTAATATTATACCAAAAACAAACGATACCGATTTCGATGCAGAACAAGAAAAGAAACATTGCATCCCAAAAATACTAAAGCAAAAAAAATAAAATAAAAGATTTGATAGACGAGTCCTAAACTTGTCAACTTTATAAAAGATATAACCGAAAAGAGCAGACTGCGAAATATATTTTGTTTAAATCCCTGCAAGTGGAATCATACTTCCACAATAAATCTCTATATTTGTGTTAGCATTTAGTAACTTTAAGTCATTGAAGCTTGTTCTTAGTTTTTTTCAATCGATATATTTTTGCCGGATGAATTTATATATTAATCATATTAATACAATAAAATGTGTGAATGTGTTATGGGTATTCACTGATTTGCATAAGTAACTCTAAGATGGTTAGCAACTGATACTAGTTTATTCAGAAATCATTATTCAAATTTTGTATTCAGCATTGTTTTATATACTAAATAAATGTGCAAAATAGTAAAATAATATATAACCATTCGCCGCGTGAATATAATGATTTTAGTTTTTGATTGTTTGTATACACGATGGTTATGTATTTTGTAAAATGTACAGTTTTACAAAAGGGCTATGTTAGCACCGGTGTTGATGTGGATACCTGTTTTAACTATTTAGGTTGATCACTGACGTTTACCAACCATCATCTCCTTTATCTCATACATGACGTACAAGTTCTTGGCAATACAATGGTGTATCTTTTTTTGCGAATTTTTCACGGTTTCAATAAAACCTTATTAAAGTTGGAAAATTTAATTTGATGGCACATATATATTTCAAAATGTCATTTCTCTAATGTAGTTAATTTGAAAGAAACGTTAAATGTTACTTAAACCGATTTAATCAGCTTAAACCATCGAAAACATAAAACCCAATAAACTCGTTTTTAGAAATTTTCTTCAAATTTCAGAATTTTATTATTGTCGTTTTTAAGCGGATTAGTTACAATTCCCATTGTCATCGCATCTTGTTTGTTATATTTCAATCAGAGGAAATAATTGCTACAAATGATCACAACTGTTGACAAATAATAAAAGCTGTCGGATTCTAAACATGTTTTGTCCGCAATTGGTTTCCCGCTGTGTCGGTAGTCCGATGATGAAAATGCAAGCTGTCTTTCCCGAAGCCATTGCTATGATCAACTAATTAGTGGCCGATTATCGCGTCAAGTGGCCATGATCTAATAGACCAGTACTATTAAAATTTAATGCTATTCTTCTCCTTAAGTCCACGCAACTATCTATCAATGTTCATAGGATTTTTTTTCAATAAATAATTTAATCCTGGTACAATGTTAACAAGACTGATATAAACATTCCTTTTATCAAGGAATTTTAAGAAACTGGGCAAATTAATCTGTTTTGAATACAAAACCATCCGGTACATTAAGTGTTAAATCTTATTCGGTGCCTCTTTCGCTCCCTTATGTGGTGAATGTTTAAATGTTAAAATATGACGAGATAGCGTCACATGAGTGACTGGTGTTAACAATTCACTTCTTCTGAAAATCATTTCAAAACGAACAAATAGACTTAAACACTATGCAAATGAAACGAGTCATATCCCTTCTGGGCAAGACGAACTGGTCCATTTCTAAGAATATAACTGTTTAAAAGTGCACCCTCTATCGATAATGTTCTCGAGGAGTAGAGCGTATAGTCAGTAGAATAAAACGACTGGACTAGATAATTCGGGTTACCAAGAGCGTTTATGGTAATTGTTTATTGCTTTATATACAAATGTTTTAAGATTAAAAACTGTTTTTGTTAAAATGTTTTGAAGAATATGGCCATCAACTACATAAAAATAATCAGAAAATATTTGGCTGTTTTACAATCCCGTACTTTGCAGCCGGAACCAAGTATCTACTTCATAAAATCTGGAAAAACTTGAATTGCATTATAATGTTAGTCAAACTGATGCTTTCGGAATTGACAATTGATCATACGGTATCTAAAAAATGTTTATGTTTACTCTTTGTTTTATAACCAAAATCTAAATTTTATGTTTCTATCGATGAAGTTATAATGTGCTCTAAAAGGCAAGATTCTGATACGATTCCATTCATGTTGTTCTTGATGATAAGTAAAACAGTAGATTGGATACTGCACTATAAACATGCATAAATATAGCAGGCTGTTTTGACTCTTTTCAATAACAATAAAAAGTTAAAAAAAAATATAAATTATTTTTGTTACGGAAGTATGAGTTTAAAAGCCAATAAAGATCTTAAAAATAGCCGTAGCAAAACCTAAATCAAACAATCCCAAGCAGCGTAGCATTTGAGGAAAATGGTCATGGATATCGATAAAAACACTTGTGCTTTGTATTCATTTAAAATACCAGGAACTTATCTTCTTGGGTAGTGCAAATACATGTCAATACCTCAGCAGACGGTATGGCACGTGCACTATTGAAGTATTTGATTTTATATTAGTTTTCAGTTTCTGACACACGCTATTGGATCTCTATGATAGATTAAGAACAATTAATCAGGTACTATAATGTTAATCGCGAAAAAAATAAGAACCGTAGTATAATAAGATTATGTTTCACACATTCATAATAGTAACGAGCTTAATAAAATGCTAATTAGCCAAATCTATTGGATTAAAGAAATAAGACAGTATATTTGAATTGTTGCCATAAACATATATATCTGTATAACATATAACATGAACTGCTGCATTAAAGCAATTACCAAATCTTGATCATTTCTGCAATGAAAGAGGATTGGATCAGACACAAAAAATCAACTAAATTTCGACAAACTTTGGTGGATAGTTGTCTCATTGGCAATCATACCTCATCTCCTTATTTTTATATTACTAATTTTTATCCAAGACTATAATTCGTAATTTTTTATTATGTCGCTCAGAGAATATGCACAAGACTCACCTAACCTGAAACTATAGTAGAATGTCGCGATAGTGTTTGTCAATTGACACCAAAATATAAAAAAAAATAAACACGAATCGCCAAAAACTAAAACAAAAAACAAAAAACAAACAAACAAACCAAAACAGCAAAGCAAAGCAATTTTTTAATTGCAAATTACAATTCTTTCATTAAACAAACCCGTTAGTGACCTTTTGACTGACAATAACATCACTACAAAGTACAGTTCTATTTCAGATTCTACATGTCTCGACATTTACTTAAACTTGTGGAAGATAATGAGTATTATCGGATTTTATTTTTAATACTCTAATCTTATACATACGTTTTATAAGGGTTAAGATTTGTAACATTTAAAATATATGGACTTAGGAACTGGACGGCTATTTCCCTATAGTAATAAGATTTACAAAATAGTGCAATGTATTAATTCAAAAATTACTTTATGAATTAAATTTTAATTCTACATAATTTATAAATTTAATCTGTAATTTTGAAAAGTAATTCACCAATTATTATAGGATCAGAACGTTAAAAGGATAATTAGCCTTTCTAAAAAGCTTACATTAGAATTCACGTAATCACATGTTTTGGTATTTCTAGCTCTAGGGTCAACTCGATTCTCAATCAGTCGATGTCTGGCTGTGGTATTGAGGAAAATTCCGAAAAATCTACATCATTCAAAATGTGTAATTATAGTGAGTACAGAACAAGGTCACAGTTAAAAGATATTGGGCATATCATAATCTTGATTATTCATAAAAAAAAATACATAAAAAGTAACCAAGTTCACCGTTCTCTTGATTTCTCTGAAACAGGACCGGTAAGATATCCATGAATAATTTATTACTGCTTGATTAACGTCCAGTGGCAGTTATTTTCTGCGTATTCTAGAAAAAATATCTGAGACATGCATGAATTTGTCAACGGCAACCGTATTTCGAAGATGAAAATTTAAATGTAAAATTGGAGAGGAAAGTGTGGTACATTTTTACCCTGTCTTTACACCATGTTTTCTCCATAACATTTTCTGTAAAGATTAGGAAGATAATTTTAGCATGGTATAAATCTATGATTATAACTACATTGTAAATGTACATCTTTTTACAGGTGTGGTTTCAAAACAGAAGAGCAAAATGGAGAAAACAGGAAAAGAACATAGTACGCATGTTCGACGTCTGGCGTCATAGACTTGATCATTACCCAATGGTTCCTCATCCTTTTGGTCTTGGACCATCAGCTTTTTCAACGGTGCGATCTACAATGTTCCCATGGGCACCCCGACTTCCGATGGCCTTTCCTCCAGTCCTTCCATTTGCAGGAATGATCAACCCATACAAAGGTGTGTAAAACATTGATCTGATGTATGCAACGTATACGGCAAAATTTTACCGAACTACCTTTTCTTTTGTTGATTTATGTGCCAACAAATATGTCGCTGGCATCCAACGTTTATTTTTCTTTTGATTCAAACGAGAAATCAACGAATATTCAATGGGAAATTTTATAAAAGTTTTGCAAATAAAAAGACTCCATATAATTGATTATTTGAATTTTCAAAGCAAGTTGCCATTCTGTAGCAGTTGATAAGTTTAACAAAGACTTATGAAAGATTCTTATATAGATTTCATAGATATTTGTAGAAATATTGTTGTATTATCAAAATCTGTATTTAGGGTTTCGTCAATTGATACAACAGAATAATAAAACTTGTAGAGAGACCATACACCATAAAAATAATTGTTCTGAAAGTATAACTTAAGCAGTATTTATGCCGAATTATTATTTTTCTCTCCCAAAGTATCAAACTCCTCCTGCAACCCCACCAAAATAATGATACTAAAAATAGCCAGGGCTTCTCCCTAAATCAAATCCTGATCTAGCATTTAATCATATCTAAAAATGTAAATTGAAAAATTCTGTTTCAAAGCAATAATGTCAGACAGGAAATCGAATTGTGACACCCGCATACCAACATTTCAATTATTCAAGAACGGGAGGAGGTGTGGAATTGATAACACATACTCGCCCAAAATTTGTCAACCTTTTTATACCTGAATTTAACTCAGCCTGCTAGAAATTAATCTAAAGAATTTCACTTTTTCAGCTGTTGATATTCCACCTCTGCCACCAAAGTTAGGAACTGACCAGTCTCCAATGAGTCATTATGGTACCTATGCCAGAGACTATTTGCAACGAATTACAAGAGAGGCAAATGAAAAATATGAAAAAGAATTAGCAGGTCGTCGAAATAACTCACCTTTACCCCTTGTAAGATATCATTCGACTTCATCGAAGTCGTCGACAATATCATCTTCGCCATCGTCAGAATCAACTACAGTAAGGCGTTCGTCTTCACGATGAAAACATTTTTGTTTTTGTTTTTTTTAACTGAAAACGCGAAAACGATTGCTTCAGTTTCCGTCCCTTTGAAAATATTCTAATTATGTTAAATATTGCACAGAAAACAAGTTTTACAATCTATTCAACAGCTAAATATTGGTAAAATAGTTTAGCGTGTTGAGTTCAGGATGAAACCACCATAGCAATATAAAGCAACACATTTATAGGGGCGGAAACTATCAACATTACATATCAAACTAGCAATACATCAACCACGTTTAGTGTTCAAATGCTTAAAGCTACAGCAAAAACATTTTAACGTAAAATCATTAATCAATGCATTCCGCGGTCAACAGTTACCCTTTCCGTGAAACCATGACATTTAAGGATGTATTCTTCTGACGTTTTAGTCTCGTTGAAATCTCGTTCCGGGATTTTTTCCAAAACATGTGATACAAGTGGAAAATATCAATGTACTTAAAAAAGATTTTAATTAAACTTAACTCTGGGAAAAAATTGTGCATTTAAAATAAGTAGTTTTTGAGTAATAAAATTTGAAAATTTTATTACCAATCAAGTCAGTCTCATTAGCCAAAATTTGAGAAAATGGGTGAGGGGTACAAGAAATGATTTTACCAAACACATGTACATCCCATATCAATTTTTCCTATCAAATTTCTTAGATATGTATTTTTTCAATCATTTATAACAAAGAAGTTGAAATTATATGCTTTTTGTTCTAAAAATAGAGAAACAACCCAAATTTACAAAATTGTTAGCATGGTAAATTTGACTCGAAAAAGCAACCAAATTTTATAAAACTTTCTTATATTAACACCTACCTACAGTCTTTTTTAAGTTAAATTTATTCAGATTGGTCTACTTCATCTTTATTGAAAGTATGAAAAAAAGTTTAATTGTGAAACTGTTAACTTTTTCATGATAATAGCCCCAAAATGGGTAAAAATTTATGAAAAATGGGAAAATCATCAGAATTGGGTACTTTCAAATGGCCGAAGCAAGAAAAGAAGTGCACCACCATATGAGTTTTTCTTCACCAATTATTCTTTTTCAGTCAAATAAACCAAAAAATCAGGTTTAGAAAAAAAGTTTAATTCTAGAAATTTTTGGATCCTCAGAGGTGTACATCCCTAATCGTTCTTTTTCCGTAGCTACTTATATCATTCCGATATTGCACTTTTTATCGAATTGCATCTTTGTACTTTTCATTCAAGTAAGTTTAGTAGTCTCTGTAATCTTCAATATAAATTTACAAATGTAGGCTCACTTCTTCTGAGTATTTCAGGATTCATTACATGAATAAAATATGACTTCCACAACTATCACTGTACAACCTTTACATGGGATTATTGTTAATAGAAATAAGCTTTAAGTAAAAAACCACACATGCACTTCTGATATAAAATCTAAAAATATATCCCTTTATGGATATCCGTTTCGTAGTAGACAATCATAAATCACTTAATGAGATATACAGTCAACATCTACATGATTTCTTCTTTTTCCTTGTAGTTTGTTTTTTTCAATAGTTTATACATGTACCCTTACCAATGAACATTGTAGCACAAACGCCTACATTTGGGTTCTATACAATTCTGTAGCTCTATACACGCCTTTGCATTTGCGAATACTTAAAAAAAAGCAATTAGATCTGTCATAAGTTGTAGAATGTCAAATTGTTCATCTTTCATTAAGTGAGATTGTGAACTTTTAGGGATATTTTCAAACGAAGTTTTAATCATTACGACGACAATCTGATATTAACAGGTGTAGACAATCTGATATTAACAGGTGTAGACAATCTTATATTAACAGGTGTATATAGTTTACGAGTACCAATGATTTTATAAAATTGTAACATTCTGTTTTATCTATTGTAAAATGCCAAGTGTAGTGAATGTACTACTTTATATATATCATATATTGCACATAAAATGTTAAACATTTTGGAACTAATTAACTTGTTGCCATTAATGTTGAAAATTAGAACAAGAACAGACAAAATGCAAAAAGTAGTATTTCTTGTATTCATTTATTATTTTATGGGGTTACAAAGCTCATATGATTTTTTGTTATCTTTTTTACTGACATTTATTATGTACTATGAGTGCTTCATATTCAGTGTTTTATTGTAAATATAGATGTTAACTATATATACATGTAATTGTTTGATGTTGATTAATAAATAAGTTTAAAACAAAGATGGTCGATCTGATTTTTTTTCCAATTACATTCACCATCTTGTAACTTGCAACGTCATGTTTGCACCACGTGACTTGATATTATGATGTATCATTTGGACAAACAAATTGGTAGGATCCATTCATTAAGTAATTAGAACCTTGACCGTTATGGAATACCTGTTTCACAGAAACGTTCCAATTATCGCAACCACAATCCCATCCTCCTTTTCCCAAATGTGACCTACCGAATTAGACCAGGTTTACAATGAGGGTCGGTTGTGAACAAAACTTAACGACAAAAGATATTATTTCAGCTTCTCAATGATGAACTTTCCATTTGTATGTAGCAACATTCCAGTAGCCCCTGAATATGGAGTATACATCTCTCTGCTGATACGATATTCCTGGGCTTGCGTTTCCTATCATGAATTTTTTGATAGAGGGTTGCTGCTCACAAGGTTCAGCTATCAAACCAAGAGTTCCAAGTGTTGAAGTTGAAATCATCCATTCAAAAATTTTACGGACGCCATCACGAGTTGGTTAATGTTATTGAATCATCTGTTTCACAGATGAAGACGAGTATGTTCCAATCGTCATAACTACAATCCGGTCCTCTTTCCCCCGAATGTGACCTACCAAATTAGACTTATCATCGGATTTGTACTTTCATGAGCAACACGACGGGGCCACATGTGGACAAGATCTGCTTACTCTTCCGAAGCACTTGAGATCACTCCCGGTTTTTGTTGGGGTTCGTGTTGCTCAGTATTTAGTTTTCTATGTTGTGTTTTGTATACTGTTGTTTGTCTGTTGGTCTTTTTCGTTTTTTTTGCCACGACATTGTCAGTTTGTTTTCGACACGAGTTTGAATATCCCTTTGGTATCTTTCGCCTCTGTTTTATATATTGATGACCAAGTAACAATATACTTCTGTAAACTGAATATTAGCGTTATGGTTTTCAAGCAAATAGACTTTCTGCATATTTACAATGAAAACGCGTTTCAAACAAAGGTAAATGGGACCTTCCCCCCTGAATTGTAATTTTTAGTGGTAGATAGTACTGTCGAAATAAAATTGAGAATGGAAATGGGGAATGTGTCAAAGAGACAACAACCCGACCATAGAACAGACAACAGCAGAAGGTCACCAACAGGTCTTCAATGCAGCGATAAATTCCCGCACCCGGAGGCGTCCTTCAGCTGGCCCCTAAACAAATATATATACTAGTTCAGTGATAATGAACGCCATACTAAACTCCCAATTGTACACAAGAAACTAAAATCAAAAATAATACAAGACTAACAAAGGCTAGAGGCTCCTGACTTGGGACAGGCGCAAAAATGCGGCGGGGTTAAACATGTTTATGAGATCTCAACCCTCCCCCTATACCTCTAGCAAAATCTATCGATTCGAACATACATTTTCCTTTGAGAAGGTGGTACATATGCTAATAGTTCTAAAATAAACTTATATTGGTATATTAAGGTGGTACCTAACACTACAGGGAGATAACTCTGTAAAAATCAACTTAACGTTTTAATCACGTTGTATTGTTAAGGAAATATTAAGCTTCTCAATGATCAAAATTAGTGTTTGTCAAACTGCTATATAACCAGTGAAATTTTTCTGATAAAGTGATTGGTTCAAATTATTTGATTTTTTTTTATTTTTGTCAAAGGGTCAAAGTAAACATTTTGTCAAAATTTTAGGAAAATTAAACGAGCCAAATTAATATTAGTCAAGGTGTTGGGTACCACCTTAAGAACATGGAATACAATGAAAAACATGGACAGAATTATAAGGAACTTTATCACGGTGACTTATAGATGCAGATCCAGTATTTTGAAAAGGAGGGGGGGGGGACTAAGCAGCGTTTGGAGTGGAACATGTATGATGTCATTGCATTAACCATATAGGTAGCACCACAAAAAGGGGGGGACTTAGGTTGTCTTATGAAATGTTTTGTGCTGGTGGGTTGTTTACAGTGTATCAGAACGGCAATTGAAACCATTATGTTGAAATTCTTTTTCACCAATACCTTATACAGGTCAAGACCACTACCATTTACGAAAAAGACAAATATCGCATAAATGTCAGGACGATAACATGTTAATATGATCTATTCTCTTTTGTACAAGACCAACACGATGAGCTAGATTTTCAACGTGCTAGTTCACAAGGTAACTGTCCGCAGGGAGACACGCCATCCTACCTGGACAAACTATTAAGACCCCAAACAGATAATTCTTGGATAATACTCATCAAAGTTGTGTGCTTAAAGGAGAAGCAGCAAATGCATTTTTTTTTTAAATATTTGGTTTAACCCAATCAGGGGTTGAGCTATAACGACTTGGGACAGGCATATTAACATAACTAGTGACACTAATTTTTAGGAAAGTTAGATATCTTGAAAAATTCGGGAATCTAAATCGCTCATCTGGTTTTTAATTGCCTATAGTATCCGGATGCCCAAGAAATCCTAAGTAGCCATGTTTTATGTGCCTTCGTGGACATAATCAACAGTTCTTAAAGCAATGATGAGTCTTCATTAAAATGTCTCTGAAGTTTGGTTGCAATTGGGTCATCACATTATTTTTCAGAAATTTTTATTTCAAAGTCCAGTGACATTTTCTTTTTCAGTATAGGTAGTGGCTTAGTCATAGTAATGACAGTCATGTAGGTCAACATGACATGCAAGCATATCTAAAATATTTTTTACATAAGGTTATCCGAGGAAGATGTTTTTGCAAGACTGTTCAGATTGACACAGCGGTTTCAGAGATTTTTACAGGTTGGTTCGCACAAAGTCCATTATAGTGGAGATTTTTATAGTTTGGTTCGCACAAGATCCATTACGGGGGCCATATTGAGTGAGCAGCAGGATCACATGATTTATTACTGATAGAAAAGATTTATTACTCATAGAAAAAAACAACTTGAAAACTGTTTTTCTAAAAAGTTATGACATATCGGATTATGTTTTGAAAATTACATACATTTGATATGTGTTAAAGTTATAGTAATCTTAATCTAAGGATGGTTGTCAACTTTCCTCCAAATTCGAATTAAAGTTCCAGAGAAGATTTTTGAAAACGCCGCACCATTCCCAAAGCTAAGTATATAAACAAACATATTCGGTGATGGACATATTTGACGAGTTGGGGCATTGGGCGTATCTCTGCATGACAAACATTTAAAGACCAATTTTACCTAAAACGTATTCAAATTAGATCTTATTGATCATTCAGATGTTTATTTTTTCAGATTTTTTAAAATAAAACTTCTATTTTTTAGCAGCAGCAGGAGTATCGACTGTTATTCTGAATAGGCTTTATTCGGGACCATTTATCAAAAACTGCATTACTTCAAGTAAATTTTTAATTGTTTGCATTTGCCAAACATTTTCTATGAATAAATAACACCGAGCTTTATATGTATATATAGCAGGTGCTAACCCAACAACTAGAAATATTGTGTCAACGTTAAGTGTAAACCAAGTGGTTTCAGAGATTTTTCCAACTATCTGTGTTTTTTCCAACTATATATGATTTTCCAACTATATATGTTTTTTCCTGATATATCTGAACGTAAACCAAAGATCCCCGTTGGCGACCATATTGTTCAAGTGAACTCATCAGCTACTTTTAAAATGAAATTCACATCATAACTATTTCAGCAAAAAATATCCCTTAGTCTTTTGTTTGTCTTATGGAGTATGATGTCCCTTTTTTTTTTTTATCACAAAGCTACATTTTATGTTTGTAATGAAGGCCATCTGTAAATTAAGTCTCGTGACCAGTTTCCGGAAAATATCGTCTAACGAGTATTTCACAATATCTCGTTTATCTTTTCTAATAAATCGAGTACACCTTGTCAGTTTTGTGAATGATAGAACAAGTCTCGAATACATACCGTAGAGGTGAGACTCGAGTTAGCTTTTCATATAAATGTCAACCAACTACAATTACGTCCAAACCATTCTGATACCCACTGATATATTTATGACACTATCACCGGATGTTGACTTGCATGAACAGCACGACTTGTTTTACCGGTGGAGCAGAATCTGCTTACGCTTTTATAGCACCTGACTCGGTTCGCCCCAATTTTTATGGGGTTGGGTGTTGCTTAAACCATGGAAGTAATATTACTTCCATGCTTAAACTATGGTTTTCTATGTAATGTTCGTTATTGTCCTTTCGTCGTTTTTCGTTTTGGTCGTAGTTGTGTACGTCTTATTGTACTTTTTGATTCCGCCTTTTGTATACGTATCTTCCCTCTCGTTTTCAAATAGATAGAATCGTGTTAATTTTATGTGAGATTCGTACTTTTTTCCTTTTATTTTTGACAGATGAAAATATCAAAACTGAAATTAAATAAAAACATCAAGCAAATCTGTTTTGTCAAATATTTTACCATGCTGTTTTGTTTATTTAAATACGTTAAGTACACATCAACTCACCGACAAATCACTGAAAATTATAATTTACAAAACTTAACTAACGGTTAACAAATGAAACAAAGGTAAGATAAGTCTACTGTTATTTAATCTTTAGTACCAAAAATCTGCGTTATTATGCAAATATCTCTCGTAATGAAATGATAACTGAAATAAAGAGAGCATGCGCAGTTGGGGTAATTTGTATTGATGAATTCAAGTTCAACAGGCGACGTTTCATCTCCGTAGATTTTGATTTTTCAGAATTTCGTTCAACATCAACAACGTTCAGTGCTGATGTTTTGTGAACAAGTGGATTAGCCGAAATCTGTGCTGGTTTTCCATTACTTTTGTCCTTATTAGCAGATAATAAAATTTTGGTTTCTGGTGCCTCTTTTTGATCTGACGATGTAATTGACTCTCTTGAATTAATGCCTTTTGCGTCTTGGTGTAGTGTACCCGTTTCTGTAGATGGCATCCGGTTTTTCGGGACTAAGTTGTCTTTGTTCATATTGTTGTCTGTGTTCGATTTTATTTTTGATTCAGTAGGAATTCCTGTAATTACGTCGTCTGCTACAATTGGAGGTACGGAATTTTCAGACGATTCAGAAACAGTTACTATTTGTGTAGATACAGATTCAATAACTCGATTAATTTTAGACATTTCTCCAAGAGGTATTTCAAAATCCTCATCACCCTCAACCTGGAAAACATCAGACGTTCCTACATAAGAGTTTGACGTATCATCCTTTAATTTCCCTACATCTGTTTCTTTTCCATTTCCTGTAATTAGAGATATAAAACAATGTTAAAGTATCACAGACAACTAAACATAATAGAAAGACTTTTACAAATTGCATGGAACTAATTTACAGTTCTAAGCTACGTTTTTTGTTAGAATTGTATTTTACCTAAGAGTTTAGTAATTAAATATCTCTGATTTATACCTAGATATATAGACATTAATGTCATTTTGATTCAAAGTTCGTAAAATTATTTTGCACTTCTATTAACATTAAATCAAGAAATGAAATGACATAATTTGCACTATAATGGTTGTAAATGTATTTGAATGTTTACTTTTACTTAGATTGTCATAACTTCCAAAATAAAATATTTATTAACGAAGAAAGATTGTAATTCTAGTGCCACAGTAATAACAAAAATGTAAGGTACTGTATAAAAGGATAAAAATTGAAAAATCATTGGTATGCAATAAATTCTTAAAAAAACGTACAAAATAAAAATAAGAAGATGAGATATGATTGCCAATGAGACAACTATCCACCAAAGTTCAAATAAAGTGGATGTAAGCAATTATATTCAACCGTACGACCTTCAACAATGAGAAACTAGAGGATCTCAAGAGCCTGTACGTGTAGCTCACCTGTATCTACTGTGGTTTTGGAAATCATGTAAAATAAGGTGAAAATCATAATAAATACTAGTAGTATTAGATACCCCAATAATGATTGAGACCAAGTTTGGTTTAATTTGTCCCAGTAGTTAAATTAAAAGCAGGTCATCCCATTGTAGTCTTACAAAAGTTACTGAAGACCCTATGTTATATTTTTAGCCATGGCGGCCATCTTGGTTGATGAGCGGGATTATCGGATATATTTTTTAAACTAGATAGATACCCTAAGGATGATTTAGGCCAAGTTTGGTTTAATTTGGCGCAGTAGTTTCAGAGGAGAAGATTTTTGTAAAAGATTACAAAAATTTAAGAAAAATTGTGAAAAAATTGACTTTAAAGGGCAATAACTCCTTATGGGGCCAATTGACAATTTTAGTCATGCTGACTTATTTTTTTATCTTACTTTGCTGAACAATTTTGCTGTTTACAGTTTATCTCTATCTATTATAATATCCAAGATAATAAACAAAAGCTGCAAAATTTCCTTAAAATTACCAATTCAAGGGCAGCACTCAAACAAGAGGCTGTCTGATGCATCTGAAAATTTCAGAGCAGATAGATCTTGACCTGATGAACATTTTTACCAGCGTCAAATTTGCTATATTTGCTTTAGTTTCAGAGATATAAGCCAAAAACTGCATTTTACCCCCATGCTTTATTTTTAGCCATGGCGGCCATCTTGGTTGATGGGTAGGGTCATCGGATACATTTTTTAAACTAGATACCATAAGGATGATTTAGGCTAAGTTTGGTTTAATTTGGCCCAGTATTTTTAGAGGAGAAGATTTTTGTAAAAGTTTACGGACGTCGACGGACGCCAAGTGATGAGAAAAGCTCACTTGGCCCTTTTGGGCTAGGTGAGCTAAAAAAAAAACCATACCGTATAGTCGGCTATAACACTTGATATGAATTGTAGGTCATGGTGACTCAAATATAATTAAAACATGTTTTACTGTACAAGGGTGTATTAAAGTTGTTTTAAAACTAACATCAATGTACAGACATGATTTTATAACATAATTTTCTTAAATTACCCATTGATAAATTAAAAAAATTACCATGATACAAAAAATCCGACTTTCTCAGGGGAAGTTGCCTTTAGATAATTTGTTTATTATTCTTTTTTCCCTTTTGGTCATTAAAAGTTTCACGTGTTTTGGTATTTGCATATTTCTGGATTTCAAAAGTTGGTCTTGAACTAATTGTTACGTGTTTGTGCCCACAAATTCATGGTAAACTAACTACCTTAACCAGAAACTTTAATTTGATTTAGGCAGACTAACAGACGGACACTATCGTAGACGATGGACACATTTTGGTTAAAGAATTGAATGTTTCTTTTTCTTAAAATTATTGGGGGTGTAAACGCGTTGACCGAAGCACAGTTGTATGAGGTGAGTTAGATCTTTATACACAAATGTGGACCCGAACGTTTGGGATGCCTTCGCTATTCAAAATTACGGAATCATGTGAAGCTTCTATGTATTGTAATTATTGGTATATGAACTAAAGATGTGGTGGATCATATCATATAGACATTTAATAACGAATATTTAACGACCGCTTGTGACTACATGAAATCGTCAATAACCTCATAATTATTGAAACGTGCAAAGAAATTTTCATAATAATAATAACATGGGTAAAATAACACAGAAATCAATATGTGTGCACTTGTTAAACTATGGCCAAACGAGTTTAGTGAAAATTATTTTGATATATTTTCTACCAAAAGTCTATAAAAGATATGTTCGATAGTAGCAAATACATAAAACATTGCTGCAAAAACTGTAATGTTACAAACTGGACAAACATTGGAGTCATTTGAGAGAGTACATTAGAAAAAAATCACTTAATTTATTCCCATGTTTTAAATGTTAAACTTACTGGATGGTACATTTATAATAAGTCCTCCACGTATTAGCTGTACGTCCTCTACTTTAGCTCCTAAACGGCCTTCAAGAAGAACTGGTAATAATTTATCAATATCTAGCTTTCCTATATGGAGTCTCGATTGGTTTTCCGAAATTTCATTGAAATTCTGAGACTTACGGTGTTGGCCTGTATTAGAATGTATATTTTGCAAGTTTTTACTGTCAGATTGTTTATCCTCTAAACTGAACTTCAATTCGCCGTCAGCCTCACGTTTGCGTCGTCTGTTGTCGTCTTTTGCTTGACATGAATTCTACAACGAAAACGTACAGACTAAAGATCGTCTGAATGAGATTACAGAATAAAGAATAATAGCAAAAAAGTGCAGAATAAAGGGCAAAAAATATAAAGAATAGAGAAAGAAAGGAAAAAAATAAAGAATAGAGAAAGAAAGGAAAAAAATAAAGAAAAGAGAATGATGGGGTGCTAAAATATAAAGTATAGAGAATAATAGGGTGATAAAATAGAAAGAATAGAGAATGATGGGCAAAATATATGAAGAATAGAGAAAAACGGTCTGAAAAATAAAGAAACGAAGGACATAATTATCCAGAGAACATCAGTTAATGATAAATTTAAATTCTATTCAAAAGAAATCCGGCGAATAATGATACCGTGCTAAATGACGGCAAATGATAATAACACAGGATCACATTGGAGTTTCCGAAGCGCTCTTTTTTATTTCCCTTCTTCGTTTTTCTTCCCCCAAAAAATGCTAACAGCTGCTCCAAGCTAGATAGATTTACTCTACAAGGAATTATAAAATCACTCATTGAAATTAATACTGCTTGATGTACCATTCGAATTTAACTGCTACATCCTAAACATTCAGGGAAAAAAATGCGACCTTTTTTAATTCACAAAGCAAAATTTGCTTCAAGTACATAAATATACAAAATGCACAGCTGTATCTCAGTGGCCAAAGCTCGTCGTGTGCATACTAAATTTGTTGTAAGAATAAAAAGGATTTCGTAGAATGCATTTAATCAGGGCTATTACTTGTGTTTCTATAACATCGTAGGAAAAATAACATGTTCGTTAATTTAAACAAAACAACAAAAACAACAAAAAAAAACCCCAAAAAACATGAAGGATATCTCATGGTGTATAGAAATTGCCTTAAAATTTACCATTAAAGTTCAATATCTCTTTAAAAAATTATAAGGATGTTTACTAAATACTAATCCTAACAGTAATATAAAGTTTAAATTTAATTGATCCACGCATACAAGAGTTAGCAAAAACACATGCTATTTTGGTAAATTGTTTTGTTATAAATTAGGCCGTTAGTTTTCTCGTTTGAATTGTTTTATATTTTTCATGTCGGGGCATTTTAAAGCCGACTATACGGTATGAGTTTTTCTCATAGTCGAAGGTCGTACGTTGACCTATAATTGCTTACTATATTACATCATCTTAACTCTGGTGGATAGTTGTCTCATTGGCAATTATGCCACATCTCCTCATTTTTATACATGAAAACCCGCCTTTAATCAGATAAAAGTCCCATACAGCTAGAATGACAAATTGGAATACTATAAAAAAAATTAAGTTTTCGTACTTTATATCGCCACAACAATAGTGTAAAGTTTCAAGTAAATCGATCTGCGCATACTAGAGTAAGTACGCGACAAGATCAGTTATATAACATTCGGTTGAGGCAAACTAAGGTTACAGAACGGAAACCAATTGTATGACGTACGTACGGATAAGGGCAAGTCTTAATGCCCTCCGCTCCGGCGGGGGCATGAACATACTTGATTATGATGGAATAAATCTGGATAGAGAAACCTAAAAAAATTTAAAATTGAAAAGGAGTTTACTTTTACGAAAGCCTATTGGGGTTACAAAAAAAAAATATTTATCTCGTAATTACGAGATAAATATCTCGTAATTACGAGAAAACTATCGCGTAATTACAAGATAATCATTTTTTATCTCGTAATTACGAGATAATGATCGCGTAATTACGAGATAACTATCGCGTAATTACGAGAAAATTATCTCGTTATTACGAGAAGTTATAAAATTACATATATATATAAATATAGATATACAGATCATGATTACCCTTCCGGGGCACCTGATAAAACGCCCGTTTTTATTAGCTCAACTGACCCAAAGGGTCAAGTGATCTTTTCCCATCACATGGCGTCCGTCGTCCGTCGTCGTCCGTTAATTTTTACAAAAATCTTCTCCTCTGAAACCATTTGGCCAAATTGAACCAAACTTGGACTTAATCATTCTTAGGGTTTCTAGTTTTAAAAAATGTATCCAAAGACCCCACCCACCAACCAAGATAGCCACCATGGCTAAAAATCGAACATGGGAGGGGGGGGGGTAAAATGTAGTTTATGGTTTATATCTCTGAAACTAAAGCATTTAGAGCAAATATGACAGGGTAAAATTTTTCAGACGAATCAGACTTCCCGTTGTTCGGATGCTGCCCCTGAATTGGTAATTTTGATGATTATTTTTCAGTTTATTGGTTATTATCTTGAATATTATAATAGAAAGATATAAACTGTAGGAGCAAAAATGTTTAGCCAAGTAAGATCTACAAATAAGTCAAATGACCAAAATTGTCAATTGTTTTCTCGTAATAACGCGATAGTTATCTCGTAATTACGAGATAAAAAACTTCTTTTCTCGTAATTACGCGATAGTTTTCTCGTAAATACGCGATAATTATCTCGTAATTACGCGATAGTTATCTCATAATTACGAGATAAAAAACTTCTTATCTCGTAATTACGCGATAATTATCTCGTAATTACGAAATAAAACAGCTTCTTATCTCTTAATTACGCAATAGTTTTCTCGTAATTACGCGATAATTATCTCGTAATTACGAGATAAAACAATGATTATCTCGTAATTACGAGATAATTATCGCGTAAATACGCGATAGTTTTCTCGTAATTACGAAATAAAAAAAAAAAAATTTGGGACCCTAATAGGCTTTCGTATACTTTTGACAACAAGAAAGTAAAGTTTCAGGGAAATCAATACAAGCATACCGAATGAGTGCGCGATATGTGTAAAAGTGCCACAAATCATGACAGTTAGATATTAATCAACATTTACGGTACCAATTTTACTGCACCAGGTGCGTATTTCAACAATTCATATCTCTTCATTGATGTTCGAGGCAAAAATATTTCAAATCAGAAACCTAATACAAACTTTGAAGTGTCTTGTAGCTCTTGGAGGACAACAAGATCGACAGGGCGCTTTACACGACCGATTCAAATAATTCATACATGTTTGATGAATTTGACCAGATAATTCTATAGCTACTATACGAGTGGGGATGGATGCACAGACGGACAACGGCATACCATTATTCGTCCCGTTTATGACAGGCGTATAATATATAACACTTGTGTTTTTCAAACTGAAGAAAAAAATCGAAAAAAAATCTGACATTACCCTAATCGAAATACACGATTAAAAGATTTAACTCATGATACCCCATGATAAACACGAAGTTGATGAGTGATGTATGTTTAAACGCATCACATGGTATAGCGTGCTCATGAAGGATGATTCTTACTTCACCCCTACCAGATCCACCTAGAACCTAGCTGGGCTTTTCTTTGTTCTGCATGCTTTCCTTTGTTTTGTCAAATCCACAATAAAACTTAGAAATATTCATACGGAAAAGATTAACTATCAAAATTTGTGTAGAAAAAATCCAGTGTCTTATGATGCTGGGAATCGAACTCCAAGACCTTTAGCATATAGACCCACGAGTCAAACCCCTACACCAGGACGACTGGATCCAAACTCTCTGTTAATTCAACATATCTAAACACTGTGTTCGGGCTCATGTAGGGTATATACTATATAGTAATATATAAAGTATATTATAATGATTGTTTGGCATTCGAAACTAGATTTTATGAAGCGTTTATGGTTTATTATCTGATCTAGAACAGCTGGGATGTAAAATAGTTATCCCATTCGTACTTAGTGTGTCAGTGTAAGATCACCCTCTGGCCTTCGGCCATCGGGGTGAACTTACACTGACATACCGCGTTCTCATGGGATAACTATTACAGAAAGCCATGATTTGTAGATCCTAAGAAAAATACGACGACAATGTCATGGTTCATAAAATGCAGGTCAATCTTGACTTTGCTGGTTTTGGAGTATACTGTTGAAGTTATGCCCCTTAGTTACTTATATATGCTTACACATAATGGCAATAAATAAAACTAAAACTTTTCGTAGCTCATAACCCATGGATGACATTGTTTTAGATTTAGTTAAGTAGTGCTAAATTTTCATCTAGGAATTAAATAAAAAAATCAAATTTTTAAGGTAAATTAAATGTCAAAACAATCAAAATCGAACTTGACCTGTATTTTATGGTCATGCCAATGTGTTTTAGATAAAAAAGATTTTGTAAAGCGGTATTATTATTATCAACAGGAAACTGAAAAACAATTCAACATTGGAGGCCAGTAAGTGGCATAATTCTTATACCGTTCATGTCAAAACCATCAATTCAAACTTGACTTGTGATTTATAGTCCATAACATTGTTAAAATGTCAAAAGATTTGGTTACGCGGTATTCTAATTATGATCCGGAAACTAAACTTGTGACTGACGGACATGTGCATCACTATATACCCACCTCTAATGTGCTTCAAAAGCAAAATTATAGATTGCTGGACTAATGCACTGCTTAGGAAATCAAAGTACTGAAGTACTGAACATCGGATGACCACAAGTTCTTGAGGATGGTCAAAAGCACTTGTCTCAGAAAAAAACAACATATCTCTTTACCTGAAACTGAGGTTAATGTGCAGAGATATATTTTTTTCTGAGACAAGTTCGTGCGTGGATGATGAATAAATGACAGGAAATTCAACTTCACCGTAATAACTATTATATTGTAGTGATACAAATCAGTATACATGGTGGACACTTTTCTGTAAAAATTCGATTTTTCTAAGATTGGATACGAGTAGGCATTCATATTTTCCCGCAAAAACAATTACAGAGTTACCGGTCCTCGCAAAAAGTTCTCTGAGATATTCTTCCGCATGCTTTAACACAATTTTTCGGTACGTCTGCATTGATATTATCAATGATTTTTTACTTTTATATATATATATCTAACTACAAAACATTTTCATACTATTAATTTATGTTGTAAACAAAAATATTTTTATCAGTATTCATTGAAGAGATGTATTTATATCAAACGATAAGGAATGTTATTTTGCATTCGTTTATGTGCGCATATTTATCATGTTTATAGATCGGTTACAAACCCAAAACTAATTTACATAATGGAAATCTAGGCGATAGCAATACATCTACATGACCCCAAGGTCATCGCGATGTAAAAATGAAAATGGAGCAATTATTCGGCTAAACATATTGTGTATATTCAGAATGGGATCAAGTACACATTTCTTCAGTTCGCAGAATTTGAAATGCTGATGGACCAGAAGGTGAATAATTGAAACTTGAACTGGAACACGGTGATATATTGGTATTACGACAGGTAACCTTAGGGGAAATCCATAGAGTGAATGCTCTCGTTATTTCACGCACAAAAGCTGAATGCTCTCGTTATTTCACGCACAAGAGCCGAAACATTCCAAAAGATGTGCCTTGGTAGAAAAATCTTTTAACTAACTAAAAATGCATACCTCTGGACATTCATCGTTACATATCACGAAGCTGCATTTAAATGTAATTCCTTGTGATCTTTTTATTCTAAACATCTTGAAACTAGGACTTATGGCAGACAAACCTCGTAATGTAAAACCTTCCTTTAAACTAAACGGAAATCCTGTTCCACATCTAAAAATCAAGCAGTCATTATAACTAAAGATAAAGACATATGATACTTCAAATTTAATAAAAAAAAAAGAAAATGTTTTTACACTCGGATGGCCTAGTTTTACTATAAATAACGTGTACATAGACTATCTTATGAAAGAAAATCCTTTATTTTATCAAAATCTACAGAAAATGTACTGCAATTGTATTATTGCCTTCCCGGACTCTTATTCGCCGACAGCTTTTCGGTATGAAGTGAACTTAACCATGATACGTTTCGTAAGAGCTTCGACAATCGCACATGTATCCAAGAGCAAGGGAAAACCTTGACGAAAGAAAAGGTAAAAAAAAACCGTGAAAAGTAGACAGTATTAACCGATTCTGAAATAATAATAAAAAAATAATACACCAAATCATTTAACAGCTGTTAAAACAAAGTTTAATTAACAAAAGGTTACGCATTGAAACCATTAAAAAATAAATATACATCCGCGCTCTATCGTCTCATTTATTTTCCACGTGTACCATGATTCTGTGTTGTTTATCAATAGGTTACGTCATTATCGGTAAACTTCGTCACCAAATCCCCGAAAGTTAATTTGTTCTATAGATTAGACCGTTGGTTTTCCTGTTTGAATGGTTTTACACTAGTCATTTTTTTGGGGCCCTTTATAGCTTGCTGTTCGGTGTGAACCAAGGCTCCGTGTTGAAGGCCGTACTTTGACCTATAATGGTTTACTTTTACATATTGTAACTTGGATGGAGAGTTGTCTCATTGGCACTCATACCACATCTTCTTATATCTATTATGTCCCTTCGCGGTCGTCAAAACCAGTTTAATATGTTAATACTTTTCCATTACGGTTTGTTTATATGTAGTATTGCTATCATCTATGTGTTTCTAGCATTTAACGGTTGACAGTATTATGAAATATGTAATTAAAAACTTACCCATCAATGAGTACAACTGAAGACGAATTTAAATCTGTTGAGAAGGCGTTACAGTTTGTTACATGGAATTTTGTTTCATTTACAGTTCCTAAAACATTAGAAGAGGAGAAGACAGTCATGTTAAAATTGAAGTATCGTGAGTTTTGTCAATTACCGATTTGATTTTACACTTTTAACACAAGTTATTTCCCTTTGTCAATTGTAGCCTCGTTTTATACCAGACAAAACGGGCCGCTGTCCATGCAAATAATGATAAGTTATAAGTGATATTTAGGCGTTTTAACCAATTTTTAATGAGAAATAACTATTGATATCAAAATGCTAAGCTTCACTACAGATTAACTGTAATTAAAAGATCTGAAACATTACTCACAGATTAATTTGCTCTTTCCGCTAACTCTTCATGTCCCTCCCCAGAAAAAACAACTCGTACAAACGATTCTCTATTTATTGGGACAAAAAGACTATTACCATAATAACTATATCATAGATAAACATACAGTTTGTTCTTATGTCGTGCTGTTACACCACTATCTCAGGTTAAGGAAAGAGTTGAGCGCTCACAAACATGTTTATCAACCTTTAACCCCGTCCAATTCTATATGTGCCTGTCCATAATCAGGAGCCTGTAATTCTTTGGTTGTCCTTTGTTGCTGTATATCATATTTGGTTTTAGGTTATTATTTTGTCATACATCTGATCGTTGGATTTTTTGGTTGAATTGTTTTACATTTGTCATGTCGAGGCCTTTTATAGTTTGCTATGTGGTATTTGTTTTGTTTATTGTTGAAGGCCTTACGGTGACACGTTACGGTGACCTGAAGTTGCTAATGTTTACCTCATTTTGCCTCAGGTGGAGAGTTGTCTCATTTGCAATCATACCACTTCTTCTAATTTTTATATCATTCATTAGTTTAAATTTGATTTAAAGCACTCTTAGATCGGCCCTTATGTCTTGTCTCTTTGTTAGCCGTCCTTTGTCCTTCGTGTCTATAAGAGATAGGCGAAAGATATCAAAGGGACTTTCATACTCACAAGTCGAAAATAAACTGACAACGGAATGGCAAAAATAGAAAAATGACCAACAGACAAACAGACAAACAAACAACAGTACACAAAACACAACATAGAAAACAATCTATCTGATGAGTCGAGCCCTTTTCAACTGATTTTTACAGTTTGGTCTTATGTCTAAGGTTAGGGGACATGTTGTGCGCTCACAAACTAGTTTAACCCCGCCACATTCTCTATTTGCCCTTCCCAAATCAGGAGCATATAATCAGTGGTTGGCGTTGATTTGTGTCTTCCATATTTGTTTTTCGTTTGTAATTTTTATCATAAATCAACCTAGGCCGTTGGTTTTTCTTTTCAATAATGTTTCAAATGTTGATATGCCGGGGTTTTTTATAGCGGACTATATTTTAGGTCTTTTGCTCATTGTTGAAGGCCATACGGTAGTTGGTTACATCCTTGTTATCTTGTTTCTGTTGGATAGTTGTCTCAATAGCAATTATACCTTTTCTCCTTTGAACATTTCATAATGGTCGTAAAAATGCTCCGCGACCACCAAATAACCCTGACACAGGCTCAAAGACAGCAAAAACAAAGTCATCAGATGGGCAATTAATTAAACGGAAGTAGGCGGAAAATCTAGAAAATCTTCGGTTTGTCAAACTTATCACAAAAAAGGCCTGCGAAAGAAGAAGCTGTCAGGGTAAAAATTTCATTTCCCGAAAAAAAACTAGCTAGAAAAAGAAGGCGGATATGAACAAGGAAATATCCCAAGAAAAGCATAGATTGAGTAAGAGGATTGTATGAAGAAAGGCTCAGCTAGAACAGGAGATTGCATGAGCGGGGAAAACAAGTTAACTGTGTGCTACTTTGATCTCGGCTGTCGTACCAGAAGTGACTGACCTGCCTGAAACAAACATTCTCAAACCGTTATGGTAGCTGATCGAAATCATAATTGGACCGATTTTGCACCACCTTTTGACTTGCACTTGCAATCGCAAGCACCTACTGTCTAACCAGCAGATGCCACGCTATATGAAGTTATTATTTTCCCAGAATTTGGATCTGTTACTACCAAACAAAAACAGGGCGTTTCAGCAGAAATACTTGTCGCCCACCAGTCAAAACCGGTAACCCAATCTTCCAGGACAACTGACAATTACAACCAGAATATTAAGACGACATCGGAGACAAGCATATTTCACCTGCGAGAGGATTTGTTGTTTTCCAGATTGACCAGATTTGACCGTGTATTCACGTGTGCGTCATCGACGAACTACAACCAAGTGTTCGTCTCTTCGGAAATTTTACGGACACCATCACGAGTTGGTTGACCGTTTTGAAATATCTGTTTCACAGGTGACGAAGGATATTTTACATATGTCGTACCACAATACCGTCCTCTTTTCCTCGAATGTGACATCACCACATGGGTCTTATTACCGAGTTTGTACAACATGAGCAACACGATGGGTACCACATGTGGAGCAGGATCTGTTTATCCTTCCGAAGCATCTGAGATCGTCCACGGTTTTTGGTGGGGTTCGTGTTTCTATGTTGTGTTTTGTAAACTATTGTTCGTCTTTTAGTCATTTTTTTCATTTTTTGCCCTGGCGTTGTTAGTTTGCCCTCGAATTTCCCTTTTAAATCTTTTGCCACTCTTTTACAATTGTCAGATTCTCAATAAATATATTGACTTATTAAATGGCTAGGCTGAGTCATCAAAACACGCTATTAGTATAAGAGCACCAAACGACGACAAAAAGGCATCCTCCTAGCAGATGCATACAAGGTTGTGTCAAAAACTCGATGAACAGTATTGTGCCCAGGAAATGTTGGAGGCATCTCTCATTAACACGAAAATTTCATACACGACCATTAAGTGTGTGAATATGATGTTGTACACGACCATTAAGTTTGTGAATAATTATGATGTTGTACACGATCATTAAGTGTGTGAATATGATGTTGTACACGACCATTAAGTATGTGAATATGATGTTGTACACGACCATTAAGTTTGTGAATAATTATGATGTTGTACACGATCATTAAGTGTGTGAATATGATGTTGTACACGACCATTAAGTATGTGAATATGATGTTGTACACGACCATTAAGTTTGTGAATATGATGTTGTACACGACCATTAAGTATGTGAATATGATGTTGTACACGAACATTAAGTGTGTGAATATGATTTTGTACACGACCATTAAGTGTGTGAATATGATGTTGTACACGATCATTACGTGTGTGAATATGATGTTGTACACGAACATTAAGTGTGTGAATATGATTTTGTGCACGATCATTAAGTGTGTGAATATGATGTTGTACACGATCATTAAGTATGTGAATATGATGTTGTACACGACCATTAAGTATGTGAATATGATTTTGTGCACGACCATTAAGTGTGTGAATATGATGTTGTACACGATCATTAAGTGTGTGAATATGATGTTGTACACGACCATTAAGTGTGTGAATATGATGTTGTACACGACCATTAAGTATGTGAATATGATGTTGTACACGACCATTAAGTATGTGAATATGATGTTGTACACGAACATTAAGTGTGTGAATATGATGTTGTACACGATCATTAAGTGTGTGAATATGATGTTGTACACGACCATTAAGTGTGTGAATATGATGTTGTACACGACCATTAAGTGTGTGAATATGATGTTGTACACGACCATTAAGTATGTGAATATGATGTTGTACACGACCATTAAGTATGTGAATATGATGTTGTACACGACCATTAAGTGTGTGAATATGATGTTGTACACGACCATTAAGTATGTGAATATGATGTTGTACACGACCATTAAGTGTGTGAATATGATGTTGTACACGACCATTAAGTGTGTGAATATGATGTTGTACACGACCATTAAGTATGTGAATATGATGTTGTACACGACCATTAAGTATGTGAATATGATGTTGTACACGACCATTAAGTATGTGAATATGATGTTGTACACGACCATTAAGTATGTGAATATGATGTTGTACACGACCATTAAGTGTGTGAATATGATGTTGTACACGACCATTAAGTGTGTGAATATGATGTTGTACACGACCATTAAGTATGTGAATATGATGTTGTACACGACCATTAAGTGTGTGAATATGATGTTGTACACGAACATTAAGTGTGTGAATATGATGTTGTACACGATCATTAAGTATGTGAATATGATGTTGTACACGACCATTAAGTGTGTGAATATGATGTTGTACACGACCATTAAGTGTGTGAATATGATGTTGTACACGATCATTAAGTATGTGAATATGATGTTGTACACGACCATTAAGTATGTGAATATGTTGTTGTACACGAACATTAAGTGTGTGAATATGATGTTGTACACGAACATTAAGTGTGTGAATATAGTGTTGTACACGACCATTAAGTGTGTGAATATGATGTTGTACACGACCATTAAGTATGTGAATATGATGTTGTACACGACCATTAAGTATGTGAATATGATGTTGTACACGACCATTAAGTATGTGAATATGATGTTGTACACGACCATTAAGTGTGTGAATATGATGTTGTACACGACCATTAAGTATGTGAATATGATGTTGTACACGACCATTAAGTGTGTGAATATGATTTTGTACACGACCATTAAGTATGTGAATATGATGTTGTACACGACCATTAAGTTTGTGAATATGATGTTGTACACGACCATTAAGTGTGTGAATATGATGTTGTACACGACCATTAAGTATGTGAATATGATGTTGTACACGACCATTAAGTGTGTGAATATAGTGTTGTACACGACCATTAAGTATGTGAATATGATTTTGTACACGACCATTAAGTATGTGAATATGATGTTGTACACGACCATTAAGTGTGTGAATATGATGTTGTACACGACCATTAAGTGTGTGAATATGATGTTGTACACGACCATTAAGTGTGTGAATATAGTGTTGTACACGACCATTAAGTATGTGAATATGATGTTGTACACGACCATTAAGTATGTGAATATGATGTTGTACACGAACATTAAGTGTGTGAATATGATTTTGTACACGACCATTAAGTGTGTGAATATGATGTTGTACACGACCATTAAGTATGTGAATATGATGTTGTACACGACCATTAAGTATGTGAATATGATGTTGTACACGACCATTAAGTGTGTGAATATGATTTTGTACACGACCATTAAGTGTGTGAATATGATGTTGTACACGACCATTAAGTATGTGAATATGATGTTGTACACGACCATTAAGTATGTGAATATGATGTTGTACACGACCATTAAGTATGTGAATATGATTTTGTACACGACCATTAAGTGTGTGAATATGATTTTGTACACGACCATTAACAGTGTGAATATGATGTTGTACACGACCATTAAGTATGTGAATATGATGTTGTACACGAACATTAAGTGTGTGAATATGATTTTGTACACGACCATTAAGTGTGTGAATATAGTGTTGTACACGACCATTAAGTGTGTGAATATGATGTTGTATAATCATTCAATTAACAGGAAATTGAGGAGCGGGGAATCTGAAAAAGCATAACAAAATACATGTATAACATTCTCACAAAAATCATGATAACAAATTTCAGTAAGCTCTTATTTGTAGTTCCTGAAAAAAAAATCGACACAAATTTCCGCATTGAACGGACAGACAGGGGTAAAGCAATATTCCATTTCTCATTCGGAGATACGGTATAATTACATAAGGCATTAGAAGTGATGCAGATATAACAAGTTCTATAGTAGATTTTGATTTTTCGTCTGATATTCTTTTGCATTGCAAACATTCTTAATGTTTCCATATAAAGTGCACGTGGCTGTTGGTTCGAATATCGACAGGATCAAACCTTAAGTCTTTACAATTAGTATGTGTTGCTACTCCGCTTAGCTAACTGGGTTTAGGAGTAAGAGCAAGACTTTGGTATTGAGTCACGGTAATGCGTCTGAATAGGGTCAACTATTTTACTTTTTTACTATTACCTTGTGAACTAGTACCTTCAATTGTTTCAATTGGAGGCTCTGAACCTTCACTGAGGGTCTGGATGGGGGTTTTCAGAATAGAGAATAAAATGGCCAAATCGACAGAAAAGTAGACCCCCCAAAAAAAATAATGAAAAGAGCAAAATAGGGCCAAACATAAAGAACAGATAATAAAAGGATTCTAAAATATAAAGAATAAAGAATGATGGGCAAAAATATAAAGAATTATAGAGAAAACTAACCTAAAGAATTTAAGAATACAGAAATGAAGGACCCTCTCGTTCAGACTTCACTAACATGGTACATTAGACATACAGACCTGTCATTGTAGCTAACAGTTTCACAATACGTCCCATGCGAATTTTACTGGTAAATGGCTGTTCATTAATTTTTACAATAGAAATAGTAAAATTAGACTCGGCTACGCTTCCAGTATTATTAGTGATAATCACAGGACTCTGTATCCTGGAGAAAATTAAAAAGAAAACAAAATACTAGTAGTATGCATTGAGGACGGTAATTAAAACAAAAGAGTGTTATTTTAATACAATTTATGTAAGTCAGTACATTTTAAGCAGTGCCTGTACACGTCATGGTGTGTCTGCTGAACTTCTTATGTAGTGTAACCTCTAGTCTAACATGTCTTACTACAAATCATTTGTTCATCTTTACAAACACGTTAAAAATCCGGCTTAGCGTGTATGTCTAGTAAAAGGCAGGGTTCATATTTATATCGAATTTACACGTCCTGGAAATACATTTAATTTGCCACTGGACGATAAACAGCCGTTCATTATCATCTTTTTTAAAAAGTTTTAAGGTTTCTCCCGATGGGAATACATTAAACATGTAGATTACCAGAGCTTACCAAACACATAATTAAAAACTTTGCAGTGACTTTTGTGATCTTGAACAACGTTTTGTTGCTGCTCATTAAAAAGGAGTTTTGGCCAATTTCTCCGTTATTTCTCACAGGGTCAACATCTAAAAGTAAAAAAAAATCCTACTGGAAATTGAATATTAGAGAGTCTAATTTATATTCTTTAAAAAGGGTTTTACATAATTCCATAAAACCAAAATATTATTCACCTCTATATTTTGCTGTTGAATGCATTTTCCTTTAAAATTGCAAATTTTACATATTTTTTCTCAAATTTTGAATCGAAGGACATCGCTATACCACAATGAATTAATATGTACATGTATCCGAAAAGTAATGCACAGCTTTACTACCAACACAATTTTGGTTTTGGTCAACGATGTCCTTCTTGTACAATTTAGAGATAAATACTCAAAATTTGCCAAAATTTCTCGAAATTGTTTTTTTTGTTTGTTTTGTGGCATTCTTCATCCTTTTTAAAATTTCCTAACAGAAACTGAAAGAATCCTTCCTCTTATTTTGATTGATCGTTGTTTGCTTAATATCTAGTCTTACTAATAATATGTAATATTATTATTGTGTATATTCTAACTAATTTCATTCGTTTAGAAAGAGTCACAAGTTCATTTATATTTTCAAAGGTAGACTGAAAACAGCAGATAGAAAAGTGATATTGCACGATTATTTTTAGAAAAGTGATACTGCACGGTTATTTTTAGAATATCTGACCCAATCGAAACAACCAGTCAAATGAATTTGTGCCCTACTTCTGATTTATTGAAAATGATAATACTAGTATAACAATTGTAACCTTTGTTTGAGGTCTATACGAGGATATATCGACCTAAAGAAGTAACCTCGGACTTCGGCCCTCCGTCTATATACTTCTTTCAGGACGATATATCCTCGTATCGACCTCATGCAAAGGCTATAATTGTATAATATACACTGTGCGTAAAATAATGAAAAATTTTCAAAACAATCTTGCCTTATCGTGCGACATAGAAGTGCTGACGGACCAAAAACAAATGTTTCTCAAAATTGTAAATTTTACACAAAAACTAAGTTTTAACACTGAGAATCAATTTTTGAATCGCATACCATAACCTATTATCAATTTTGGTTTTAATTCTAGCACAAATTATGTCTTTCAAAATTTGTGATTTTTTAACAAAAGATAAGTTGACTGTTTACATGGTTTATAACCACAATTGTGTCTTAATTTCATAAAAGTCGAAAGGGACCTTCCATGTTATGAAATGCTATGTCGATCAATAAAGGAAACTTATCATTGACCGACAATCCATGAAAATTTCTTCTTGGGTAATTGTACCCTGTCAGTCGGACATTAACACCTGACAATCAACCAATACACCAAATATAGTTGGCATTTTGCTAATGATAATCCAGTAACTGCAGAATTGAAATTAATCAACGGACCGTGAAAATGAGGTCAAGGTCTGATGGACGAAAAAATGAGGTCAAGGCCTAATGGATGAAAAAACTGAGGTCGAGGTCATGCAAACCTTGTCAAACAGACATACAGTTTTTATATTTGTTTTTTATTTATTGTTTTGTACATAAATCAGTCCGTTAGCTTTCTCTTTTTAATTGTTTTACATTTGTCATTTCGATGCCTTTTATTGCTTACTATGCGGTATGGGTTTTGCTCATTGTTGAAGGCCGTAGGGTGACCTATAGTTGTTAACTTCTATATCATTTTGTCTCTAGTTGATTGTTGTCTCATTGGCAATTATACCACATCTTATTTTTTTATATGCTGTAACACCTTACATTATTTTCCATAGACCATATGTAATTGACCTTTTATCTTATACATTGTTGTAACAGAGAATCATCAGTAGAAAGCTGGAATAGCCAACCTGTCTTCCCCGAACCGCACATTGTTAGATGGTTCCCGACATACCCAAAAATACTCCTGGAAAAACTCAAAGTAAAAATATATAAACCAAAACTGATCAATACAATTTCTACAAAGTCCAAATATACAGGAAAACCTTCGGAGCACCTATTCATTAACTCTTGACACAGAGATGTGTCTTGCCTTTATCTAATTTCGACGTGTAAACTACTTGTTACGCATGCGCAAGATGGACAGACGTTATTGTTTTCCTCTCTTGTAAAATGGAATAAAATTGCAATAAAAGACTGTTCCAGCAACTCCGGAGATGAGCTAAGAAGTTTTCTGTCAAGGAAAATGAATCATACATAATATGTGGTATGCAGCACTCTCAAATTTACATCGGTCTTGACATTTTGACTTGTGTGTAAATGTTTCGATACGGTGACCCATTATTCATGATTGTTGTCATACCTAAATACCAATTGGTCAGTCAACGATAACAACGCATACATAATACACAGAATACACTGATATACAGAAATATAAACAATAATATCCTTATGATGTGTATGCAATAAATGTCAAAAACTATCTCTAGTCAAAAACGCAGAAGACACTCGAAGGAACCATCGCCGGGAAAAAGTCAAAGCTTCAGCGTAAAACCTTCCAGCAAAAAAACTTATCACTGATAACGAACTTAAAACTGTAACTATGGCTAATCAAAGTCAACCTCCAGTTTCAAACCCATCTACACAAAGTAACCAGTCAATTTTTACAGATAACGATGTTAAGAGACTAGCACAAGCGGTTAAGGCCAAAATGTTCGACGACCTGCCCAATGAATTAAAATCAAACTTACAGATGTATTGCAATAGCTTAACCGTTCCTCTTATTACTGAGATTGAAAAACTTAAAACAGAAAATATTGAACTGAAAAAATCCATAAACGAAGTTAGCAAACTGAGTTTAAAAGTGGACGACTTAGAACAGCACAGCAGAAAGAGTTGTATTAGAATAAGCGGGGTTCCTTATACCCAGAGTGAAGACACAACAAAAATTCTGTGCGATATAGCATCTAAACTTGAAGTTGACTTAAAAAGTAACGATATTAGCGTATCCCATCGTTTACCAACTAAAGAAGGCCGCAAGCAAATCATTGCCCGCTTCACGCACACCAAGAAACGTGCTGAGTTTTTGAAGGCAACGAGAAATATTCGAAATATCCCAGAGTTACATGGTGTCGGAATAAGTCAGGACTTGACCAAGGCACGTAGTAGAGTTGCTTTCCTAGCTCGCGAAGCAGTGAGAAAGGGTAAACTAAAATCTACCTCAGTATGGGACGGAAAAATCTTCTTAACTGCCGTAAATGACGATAAACGCATTTTATCTACCGAATCGGAACGGAAAGACTTCATAAACGGAAAACCAGGTCCAAGACGAAAAAATATAGAACACAATGTTGTTGACATGCCTATCATACGTTCCCCTGTAACTCCTCTTCATCTACCAAACAACATTATATTTCCTCCACAAATGATGCAATACCAAAGCGGGACCCAAGCGATGTATCCTCAAATGTTTGGAATAATGCCTTGATGTACTAGGAAAGTACATACTTCTATTATGCACTTACAAAACTCAATGTATAGCATCAAGTTTAGTGACTTAAACGTAATTTTATATTTTGTACGTGACTAAAATGTATATTTCTGTTATTTGCACCCCGCCAAATTTAACGTATCACGTCTAAAGATAGAAAAAGAATAAATTCAACATTTCATAATATGTAAATTCACATATCCAAAGGGTCAATACTTCTTTAGGCTGTCAAAAGAAATTTTTTTCTAATTTAATTTAATTTTTTTTTCTCTTTCTTTTGTTCACAAGAAAAGTTTTTGAGCTAGTCAAATAGACGGATTAAATCCTGGCCGTATCAATTCAAAATGTTACCTAATTATAGTAGGTTATTGTCTCTTTGATTACTCTTTGTAAGATGGCAAAGCGCTGACCACTACTTAGATTTCTTTTTTATGTTTTAGTTTGCCGTTCTATAACCTGGTCATCTGACCAAATAAAAATCACACGGTTCAATAACTTAAGTTGTCTTGACAATTTTAATACAAATCGTAAAATTTTTATTCTAAAAATGCATAATTAAAATTCAATTATCTTTTATTTGTTTTCTATAACTATTAGCATTTATTTTTCCTTAGTGCTGGTTCCGCATGCACGATTAGAATGATACATTCTTCTCATTGGTTCAGTAAATTTTATATTTTACCTGGCTTGTCCAGGTAATTTCTACTCAGTAAAGTTTTCCTTTCAAATCACTATATTCGTACATGTCATTATTCTAATCAGTTTTCTCTGAACAGGTCATAATTTTTATTTAGAATATAGCAAAGTGCTCTCGACCAATGAATTTGTAAGATTTGATGTCTCTTAATTGTGAAGAATGAATGTAAATCATGTTCTTAGTAAGGGATTATCCTATTATTTGGGTCTATTTACAGTTCAAAACAAAGAGTTTCTATAAATGAGTTACAACTGCCCCGAAGCACATTATCAGATTAAAAGGATTTATCAAAGTTATTGAAACTGACTAAAAGTTGAATTGTGAAACAAACAAAAAAATAAAAATATGTTGAAGTTTACTGGTGCAGTGAAACTTGTACCTTTAATGTTATTATGAAAATATAAATAATTTAAATTACTAAAAAA